TCTCACTTGATTAAAGAAATAAAACTGTGTTTTAAATTATTTCTTTGTTACAGATCCCTGCCATAGAAAAGTTCTGGAGGCAGGGTAGGGAAATAGACTTATGAAATAAAAACCAGGGTAGAAAGGTGGGGAAGACACCTAAAGCATAAACAGCTCCCCTCCCTGCTCTGAGCCTCAGTTTCCCAGGCTCAGGTTGGAAGGATGGCATAGATAAGCTCGGAGGTAACTCATGGCTACAACATCCAATGCCTCTGTAACCCCAGTTCCCAGAAGTGTATGGGAATTTATATTCAACGTCTCCTTAAAAATAACTACTGAATCACCCGTCTGCCTTCTCAAGGTCACACACTGTGTTTCTGTGGATTTCTCTTGAGAAATGAGAGAAGGGAGGGAATTTAATTCTAGCTTTGATTGGCCTGCCTTTTGGCTTCAACAACAGAAAAACGTACAATTATGCCATTGACAATTACAGTCTGCACACTTCACCACCGTCGCAGAAAATGACCCTCAGCAGCAGAACAGCAGCCACAGAGCCGGGAGCACACATGCAAGTCATTACTGACTCAGAGACGGGCTGGCCTGCAGCGGCCCCCACTGCATCTTCATAGTAGGCTGGACAACCAGGGGACCACTCATCACTAGCTACAGAGGCACCCAGCCCCGAGCATCTCAGATTTCTGGTTAGACAGAATTCACAAAACAAAGAGCTTCATGCTCAGTGAAAGGGTCAGAGGTGCTGCAAATCTAAGACAATCAACCCAATAGAAAAGTCACTGGATAGAGTGTGAGTTTCTTGTTGGCAGGGACCACATCCAACTGGGTCATTGCATGTCCTCAACTACACTGTACCATACAAGATATGGGACCCACAATCAATAAATATTTGTACAATAACTTTTCAGGAGGTGGATAAACACATGACCACTGGAATAGTTGAGTGTGTGGTTGTGCAATGCCCCAAGAACACTGTGGATTAAACAGACTGGCTTGAGTCTCATCCAGCACAGGGGAAGAAGTCTCATCCTTGCTCTGCTACACAGCAGCTCTGTCTCCTTGCCAAGCCTCGGTGTCTCATTGGGGTGCAGACTAACCAGTGCTTCCAAACTTCTTCTTTACAGAAAGACTTGTTACATAGCTGCTGGAAGCATCACAACCTGAATTAGCTGTGAAACCCTCTGGGCATGTCCTCAGAGGGGTGGGGCATGCCCTTCCTATATCTGCCCTGCTTCAGAGAGAAACTGAAAAAAAATAAAACGTATTTCATAGAATGTGGTGGTTAAGATTGCTTGTCAGCCTGCCTGGGTCTGGAGTGTCCTAGGAGACCAACCTCTACCCATGACTGTGGGCAGGTTTCAATAATGGGTTTCACTGCCCTAGGCACACCTTAAACATAAGCAGCATCGTTCCATGGACTTGGATCCCTGAATGAAGAAAACAAGAGAGAGCAAGCTGAGCACCGTCATTTAGCCCCATCTGCTTCCTGACTATGGACACAGTGTGGACAGCAGCTTCAAGTTCCCGCTAACCTGCCTTCCCTTCCGTGGGCAGCACCCTCAGACTGTGAGTCAAAATAAACCCTTCCTTCTGTAAGTTGCTTTTGTCTGGCATTTTATCACACTAATGTGGAAGTAACTGATGCATAGAGTTTCTTTGAGCAAAGAGAGGCTCGTTCATTGGACAGCACTCAGAACCAGGAAGTCACGGGGCTGTGCTGCAGGAGCATGGGCAGAGAGCTCTCACAGGCTGAACACACACAGGAAACAGAAAATCTCCCTGACTAGTCAGAATGAAAAGACTCTAGTGAGTGAGTGGCTGGTGGCTTCTCGTTGGTGAAATCTGTAGTCTTTCTACTGAACTTCACTTTGCCTGACTTAGAGCAGAAGGGCAATCCCAGCTTTCTGGATTCTGGATCAGAAAGCAGTTTTATTCCCCAATGACAGAGCAAGGTAGACCCTAAAGTACTAGCCACTTGGACCTATGAACAACTCTGATTCCAAAGCTCCCTGTGAGTTACCACAGAACCAGTATTAAAATTCAGTTTAACCCTCTACCCAGCCCTCTCCCTCCCACAAACACTGATAACCTCAGTCCAAGGGCCTCCTAAAAATCTATCCTGGACTTTGAGCAACACTACCGCAAAGGCTGCTTTCCAGAAAAACTAACTTATGACTCTCTTGTTTGCAAAACAGAGACAGTAATAATTGCATAGGCCACAGTGAAGGTTCACTGAGTAGCAACTTGCCATAGAAGGTACTTGTGCATTTGAGTCCATGGTGCGACGGGCTGCGGTTAGGGCCAGCCCTTTAGCTAACTGTGAGGACCATGGTGCAATCACCACAAGAGAGGCCTCCGCAGCATGAAACAGTGGTCTCTGCTACTGACTGCCTACAATTTAGGAACCCGAATGAGCAAACTAGGCCCCTTACATCCTGTGAGCAGGAACTAACTTTCTCTGTGAGCAATACCCCATAATACAAAAATACATCTCCAGAACATACATGATAGGCAGGTCTCCAGGCCCAGTGGTTTTATCCCCAAGTATCTTCAATCAGCTTTGTGATGCTAGGTTAGGAACATGTGAATCATGCTAGGAACATGTGAAAGGAAACATGTCTCTCCCTCTCTTGGACTCACTGACCCATCAGGAATACAGCATGAGGACACTGTAACCAGCTCCCTCCATAGTCCACAGCTCTTCTGCCCAGTCTGAATGCCTGGAGTTCCCAAGGAGGACCTACTAGATTAGGCCAGCTAGATTCCCATGTTGTGTTCATGCGATCTAACTCCTGCTGCCCCTTAAAACTTCTGGGACAATGGAAGTTGGAGAGAGAAAAAGAAAGATTGGCGGGTAACCAGGGAGGAAGACATAAAGGCTGTCAAGATCCGACCCTCATCCTTTATTCAGGGGAGCCTATTCCTGTGCTGAAGGAGAAGCTTGCCAACCGAGGAGTCCCTGCGTGCCAATTGGTTTTGCCTTGCATGTATGTGTGTGTGTGTGTGTGTGTGTGTGTGTGTGTGTGTGTTGGGGTGGGGGCTGCATGTGCATGAGAGAGAGAAAGAGAGGGGGGTCATAGTCTCACAAGAAGCCACAAGTACGAATTATTCACAGATCACAGATAAAGAAACAGAATTTTATATTTTTGGTTGGGTTGTGAACCCAGCCTTTAACAGTTGAGCCATAAAATGAATTTAAAAATTAAAAAAAAAAACAGATTTTTTTTTGTTATAGCAGAGCCCGGAGTCCAGCTGAGGCACCCTCCTTACCACCGCCCTAGACACTTCTCCAACCCAGAGCAGTCTTTGTCCCACCCACTTAGATCTCGTTGCCAGGCCACTGCTGCTCCACAGCCCGATGTAATGTCACACGGGGAAGGGACGGGCAGTGCTGTGGTAGGCAGACTGTACCCTCTCTGCCAGGACTCTCCCAGTTGTTCTAGGTTTAAAATACTAGACTTTGAAAGAGTCTGTGTTTATCTATTTATTGGTAAGGTCACCCATCCATGGGGGAAAAGGGTCATAGGGAGAATTCTCGAACAACACCTACACAGCAACCCTGGCATTAGCAGACTTTTGTTAAGCAATAGTCTCTCTACATAGCTCTCCACATATTTTGCATACATTCATCTGATTAGCCTCACATCGACCCTGCATGGTATGTACTGTCATTATCCCCATTTCAAACATGAGGGGACTGGAGGACAGATGGGGTTCCAGAATTTTCACCAGTCACACAGTGAACAAGAAGAACAACTCAGCTCTAAGGCTGATAGCTGCCTGGCCATAGCTGACTGCACTTGATCGTCTCAGGACAGCAATACCGCCAGACACCCAACAATCACATCTCACCATTTCTGACTTTCACCACACATACTACATGCAAAGCTATGATCAACTATTGCCTGCTTCTGGCCCTACAGGAAGCTTTAAATTACACTTCTACTGGTGTTGTGCCCTAGGGAACATGCAAGAACTGTGTGCCAAGTACCTCCACCTCCTTCTAATGATGGTTTTGGGAGAATAGACAAGACCTTCATAGAAAGTAATTAAATCTGTCCCACTGGGGAGTTTTGGGCTGTAATTCATCCGTTTATTTTAAAGCATCAATTGTCTTCTGTGTACCTACCTGCCAACCATCAACTATCTATTAATATGTCTGTCTATTCATCTATACATATATACAGCTATCCCAAAACCAAGTGAGCAGTATGGAAAGGAAGGTAAAGTGGCTCAGCATCCCGGGCAGTTCTGGTGGGAACTTAAGGATACAGAAAGGGTGAAATAACATCAAGACATACAACAAAACATGACAAATAAAACAAAACAGGATTTAACAGGATTATGTCGTCTCTAAACAGCTCATCAAAATGCCTCAAAAAATCAGAAAAGAAACAGGATTTTAATGAATGCTGATGCTAGGGCTAAAGAAAAAGTCACTATGATGATGGAGGGTCTAAAGGATCCAAGGCTAGACCAGCTGTCAGAGGTCCGGAGCACCGGGCCGCACAGCTCCTTTGCAGATTAAGCCTTCCTCAAAGTTACCAGCTATCCCCGTGCCTGAACCTGAAGGATGTCTAAGGGCATGGATCTTTCATGTCAGTCAGGGCAGTCTCAGGAAAGCTCATTATGCATGAACCTGGCACCCTGGACTTCCACCCCTGCTTCTAGTTCCGAGGTCCATGGCCTGCCAAGTCAAATCTTGCACTGGTAACTCTCTGTGGACTTTCCAACCGGAAGTTGGCACCTCCGATGGCCACATATCTCTCCTCCAGACTAAATACCCTCAAACCCCTGTCTTCATACACTGCTTATACCACCTCCCTCCCTCTACCCACACCACTCCATTCAAGGCAGCTAGTACCTCCCAAGGACCAGATCTTAACAATCTTCCCCTGGGTAGTATAAGCGATTGACTTACCTCTGCCCTTGGAGAGGAATGGAATCCAGGTGGCGGCCTCCAGGCAGGGCCATCATGTTCATCCCAATCTGCAGCAATGCCTGCCCACAGCGGTCGGGACCCTGAAAAGACAGGCCAAGGTGGGCCTATGAGAGAGGAGGTACAGTCTCTTTCCTCTCAAATCTGGGCTCTGAGAATCCAAAGTAGGTGTGACGGAAGGTCTTCCAGGCTTCCTCTCCTCTGAAGTCCTCACACAGGTAAGGCAGGACTCAGATCTGACCTTCTTCCTAAATCCCTGGCTTACTCTAACCCCCTACAACCTTTCCCTTTGTCCTATTGCCAAATATTTACCCGTTTTGGTGTGTGACGGACACAGGGACACACAGGCCAACAAAGATTGTACAGGATATACATGTACTAAAAGAGCAGCCAAATGCGTTCCGCTTCAGGTGACATCATCTCACCGAACAGCAAGTGGACCGCTCAGGGTGTGACCCAAGGCTTTAGTGACTGTAGGCCACTGAGTCGTGACAGGGTGGATCTTAGGAAAGGTTTTCTTTCTCTAAGCAGAACCACCAGCTGAGACAGACTCTTCCCTATTAGACCCAGAAGAAAACGCAAATCGACTTCAGTGACAGCAATTATGCAGTCATGAGAGGGGCTAGTTACAGAACAGAGCAAGAGTGCAGAGAAAATTGCCTGGGTCCCTGACCAGAGACCCTCTGAGTCAGCTGATCCTGTGGTCTGACCCACCTCTACACTTCCTACATCTAAGATCCCGTACAGTCTTGTTAGTGAAGTCAGAGTCACAAAGTCCTGTCAAAAGTATACTCATGGGAAGAACGTGGATGGGGTTAGAGATTTCCAATGCCAGAGCTGAGAGTTCACTTGGCTTACTTTAACCTCACAGTAACAAGCTTCAGGGTTGGCCCTTCTCCCTCATAAAACCAACCACCCAGCTATTGATCTCTCCTCTTACCTCACCTCACCTCACCCCTTCTGTGCTTGAGAAAGAATTTTCTCCACATTCCCTCTTCATTCTCTTCCTGAAGAATGGACCTCTAATCCAAGAAGAGAGTGGATTGCTACCCTTTTAATAGTAACACTATTACACTGGTAGGCATATCTTACCAGGTAGGTCCTCATTGTAGTTCACAGGATGCGTTGCTGGGTAGCAACATTAATGATTTTTCCTCTCTAAGCAGTTTTAATAGCACCTAATTCCAGTACTGTGAAAGCTAGACAGCTGGAAGGAAATTCCAGCTCAGCTTGATTTCTCAATGTCTTCTAACCCAAATGTGTGGTGTCTTCAGCAACAGAGTTTTACAGTCTCATTCTGGTGGGTAACCAAGAGCATTGCCAATCACCTGTAATGTTCTGGGTCAGGGTGGTCCTAAAAGCCCCTAGAACATAAAGAGTGTAAAGGAAAATCCAAGTCTTCCAGGGTAAAATCTAACGCGATGAGATAACAATAATAAAATGACATTCTTATTTATATCTTTATTGTAGAGAAGAAGGGGCAAGTGCAAATATTGAAGATAATTTAAGGCTTATGTGGCAGATTCGAAGACTAGAAGATGCTTAGCAAGCATCAGGGCCATTTACAGTGTAAACCGAAGGATTCTGAAGTCAAAGAAAAGGCCATGTAATCCTGGAGGGAGTCCTGGCTCTGATTCCAGTTGAATCTGAGAGACTCGTCAGATGGACATCCTCCATCTGAGGAAATACAGTAGTCATGGACAAAAACCGAGATGCACACAAATGTTTGCACTTCTATGATAAGATTCAGAAAACATGGCTTGGAGACCACAACATTCTGGCAGTGACTTCTACCCATGATCTGGGCACCTTCAGAAAGGAGCAGCAGGTGTTTCATTCATGGCTGCCCAACAGTGATGCAGGTGGAGCCCACAGGCCAACAAACCTTCATTAGGGTGTTCTCTTGAATCCTGTGTCTTTTCACAGACAAGGATTGTCCCTGGGGGACATGTGAAGTTTTTATATATCACTAACCCACTCACAGGCTCCATTTTAAGACTTTTTATTCTCAATATTAGAGTAGGAATAGGACCCTACACAATGACCACAATATAGTCAAGAGTCACTGTAGGACCATAGCTTATACTCATGGGGCTGACAAACAGATAAAAGAGACTCTCTGGAAGACCAGATAGTAAACACCAGGCATTCAACCTAGATGATGTTTATGAAGATCCCATACTAATTCTAATAGCTGATATTCATAGAGCAAGAACTATGTGCCAGGTGCCCTTTTAAATACTTCACACACTATTAACTCATAGTATATTATTATCCCCTTATAGAAGAGAGAAATATTTACTGGAGACAGTGCACTAGAATCCACGTGTGAGACTTGAGGACTGTACTGGAGGTTTCTCCCCTGCCCACTAATTTCCGAATAACCACTCTAAGGCTTAATATTAATTACAACCTATTTGACCTATTAGTTCAGATTTATTATTAACTAGCTCTTACAACTTAAATTAACCCATTTCTATTATTTTATATTTTACCACAAGGCTCATGGCTTGTTACCTCACATCTTGCTTCTCCAACAGTTGCTGGCATCTCCCTGACTCTGCTCTTTTTTTCCCTGTATCCCTTTTTGAATTTCCTGCCTGACTCTATTCTGCCAGGTTATTGGTCAAATCAGCTTCTTTATCAACCAATGGGGATAAAACGTATTGACAGCCTGCAGAGAGACACCGTATATCAGAGGATAGGTGCTGAGCAGGTGAAGATGATGAGAAGCATGGCTCCATTCCCTGGAGGCTCTACCAAGCTCCAAGGAACTTCACTAGAAGCCCCAGCTAAAGTATCAAATATGGCTGCTACCCTTACAGTGTGGACTGCCAAGCGTGCAACTATCACGGAATTTCTCCCACCAGGTCACCACCTCTTTATGATGCCCTTACATCACCAGCATCCCACTGTCCTAGGTCCTTCCCATCCTCTGAGCAAAGGTTCAGATAGTTAAGACCAATCCAGCGCTACCTGGTCCATCAGGAAACCAAGAAGGATTCAAGGGGACACCCTACTTCTTAGTGGTATGAAAGAAAGAGTTTAAACAAGGGGATGATAAGTTCAAACCCCGATATTACCTGGTTAGCATGTGACCTTGGGAAATCACTATGCCTCAGTGACAGTGGCTTGCCTAACTATACTATTCTAGAAGCTCCCTGAGGATTAAGCGCATTCAAAGGGCTCTGACATTGTGCTTGGATGGGAAGGTGAACAAGGGAGTACCCTTTCCTTAAGAGCTGGAGTTGAGAAACGTAGAAGAGGCGAAAGGGGCACATGTAGATGTAACAGCGAAGAGGAACCCTCTGCCCACCACCCACCCCCACCAAATCGCTCCCTGGATTCTTAGTCTTGGGTTTTCCTTCCTTGTGTTTTCCTGGACTGTATCACACCATGAGTGTCTGCTCACAAAGACCTGAAGCCCTGAGTATTTCTGACTTCATTCAACTCAATAGATCAATTTAGATGACTTAGTTCTGCGACCAGGTCTCATTGGAGGCAGCCTTTGCTCACCTGCACTTAGCTAAGGAGACTGACCTTCTGCAGGAAGTTGAGACTACTTACGGTAAAGTATTCCATTAGAATCAGAAGAAAAAGGTATTTCTGCTTTTGTATCTAATGGGACAATCTGGGGACAGCTCATAACACAGCTGCGATTGTTTAATCTGATGAGTTCAGTACAACTGACCACACGGGAGAGACAGTAAATACTGTGGAAATCACTCAGTTCAGAGACAGTACCAAGAGACTGTTTGGGGTAGCAGGAGAGCAGGACCATGCATCTAGGACTCTGGTCCCTCTTTCTCCAGGACTCCAGAGTACAGAGACTGTAAGTTATGGGGCCATTTTGCCAGCCAGTCATTCTAAGTCATTCCACCTTTAGAGCTAAAACATCTCTTAGAGAAGAACACTACTTCATTGGAAAATCAGATAGAACTTTTCTAGGGCCCCACTTGCTTCCCATCTGCAGAATGGGACACTTGTAATATTAAGATAATCCTCAGACAAACATTGTTCCTCTGGTCTCTAACATATGCCCCTACTTCCCACATCTGAGAAATACCCCTATGTTATGAACTTTCATGATATAATTTGTAAACAGAAACAGTCAGGCAATTTGTATGCAACCCTTTGCAGCAGAAGCAAATACCAATCAGTCACACAGAACAGAAACCCATGACCTCAGCTTTATCAGTTGTGTGCAGAGCTTGGATTTTGAACCTGGGAGGTTCTTCCTGGAGCCTGTGACTGCAGGAGAATCAAGTTCTCCTGTACCTGGTATGCAGGTAATGCTTTGAAATAGCCCTGCAATGTATCTTTTGTATTACAGTTTTCTTCCTTAATCGGTGAATTTGTGCATAATGCCTAGCAGATAAAGTCTGGTAGATTCTGCATGCACAGCCTGCAAATCATTCCAAAGAGTTTCTCTTCCTTCATTCTCTGTATGTCACTACCCCAGTCATTTCCCACTTTAGCCTATGAAAGAACTCTTGGAGGTCACCACCTATCACTTACTTCTCTCCGGATTCATTCAACTCAAAGCTTTCTCAATTCAATTTCCAAAGCGATCTAAGCATAAGTCAAATCACATCATCTCACTATTCATCCCAACCTCACAGCCACCACCAGTGACTTCCTACCACTACACCGAGGCTAACCTACTAGCCCACCCCCATCTATGAAGACCTGACCCCTGACTACCACTATAACCTTTCATCTGGTCCCTCTCTGCTGTCCAGACACTCTGGCTGTTGTTCATTTTAGCGCCCACCTCTCCTCTTCCCAGGCACTTTCTCTTCCAGGAGAGTCTCACCTCCATCTTTCTCATCAAGTTCTCCCGATGGTCCAGGAGAGCTCTGCACAGACACCACCCCCAGAGCAAACTCCCCAGCCCACGGGGTCAAGTCCTTCATGGTGAGAGCTCCCTTAGTGTTTCCCCTCCTCAGGACCTACCAAACTGACCGTGGCATCAGCAACTTGACCGTGGCATCTCCCCTAAGGGTCATGGGATAGGCACAGAGGCTTTGCCTGCTCAGTGCTGCCTCCTCTATACCTGATGTGTTGTCTGATACATAATGATTAATAAAGAATTGTTGACTGACTAGATGAGATCTTGTTGACATAACTTCAGTTTCTTCACTGATAGACAGTGGTAACCATTTCGGTGTTGCCCAAGTGTTCAGAGGGGCTATGACGGTGACATAAATAAAGACACACGTCCCTTTCACGTTCTTGCGCTCCTCACTGCCTGATCATGCCCAACTGGGCAGCTTCCCTTCTCAATTCAGATCTGTGTTTATTCAGCTCCTCCAGGTGGACCGAGGGATGAACATTCAGGATGCAGTCATCAAAACCGCAGTGACAATCAAGAGAGATCTGGAGGACATCTGGGAGCAAAAGGTGGGGAGGAACGGCCACGGAGAGCTTCTTGGAGCATGGTACCAAAACTGAAACTCCAAAGGAGAATCTGGAATTATTAAAAAGGTGGTTGGAAGAAAAACTGAGGAGAACATTCAGTGGGTACCAGATCCTAAATACCATGAGGTCAGGAAGCAGATGTATCTGGAAGGTGGAACATTCTAGAATATTGGAATGTAAAAGAGAGATGGCAGACTTTAGAGGAAAATCCATAATAACGCAGGAAAATGGGTGGCCATTTTTAGCAGGGAGAGGAACAGGTCACATCTGTGGTGACCCTCAAAGGCAGGTTGGGATTTTGTCAATAAAGGAAGGGACAGTAACATTCAGGGCCAACGGGGCAGTCTGGACTGTATCAGAAAACGTTGTAAGAATTTGGGACCCAAATGTTTCTCAAGAAGCTGGAGGGAGTGTGCCATACGGGAAAGGAAATAAAAGATGCTGATGTTTTTAGTCTCTAGGTATCCGTACTGTGGGTGGAGGAGCCACTGCAGATGTTGGGGTAAGGAAGCCAAGGGATGAGAGTGGAGCTGCTGAGCAGTGGATGAGCTCCAGAGAGGGAGAACAGCTCCAGGGGCCTTGATCCGGAAGACAGCGGGAGCGTCCAGGGAGAGCACTAGAGCCCTAGGAACACAAAGGAAAAAGAAGGAACAGAGAAAAGCTTTGGAGGTAACAATGAGTCCTCAACATCTGAACTCAGGGCCTACGAACTGGGACAAGAATGGGGGTGGTCACTGGAGCCATCCCTGAGGCACTACCTGGGTGCGTGACACCCTACAGCAATCAGATACTTCAAGGACTCTCATCCCCGAGGGAGTTGCAAGAAACCAAGCAAGCTGCCACCTGGCCCTGCCTAGCAGACTGAACCTCATGAAATATAGAAAGTGCTGGCTCCCTGGAGAAAGCCCTGGTGGTCCCTCACAGCTGTCAGGCCAGGAGGCCAAGAAGCAGGCAGAATAAACCTTCAGGCCCCGAAAGGTCTGTGTGATACAGAACAGTTCCAGCAAAGCACAGAAGAGGCCCCAACCCTCTGACTGATGAACTGGATCTATCTACCTTCGAGACTTTACCTAAAAGGGCACAAAAATTCTATCTATGAAACTGATGTAAGATTGCCCTCTGTATGCTGTGAATGTGTCTTGTTGCCATTGGTTAATAAAGAAGCTGCTTTGGGCCTATAACAGGGCAGAATAGAACAAGGCAGAAATTCCAAGCAGAGATAGAAGAGAAAAGTAGGCGGAGTCAGAGAGAGGCCATGTAGTCTCCAAAGGAGAAAGATGCCCGGAACTGTACCAGTAGGCTGCAACCTCATTGTAAAATACAAAATAAAAGAAATGGGTTAATTTAAGATGTAAGTTAATTAACAAGAAGCCCAAGCTAATAGACCAAGTAGTGTTTTAATTAATATAGTTTCTGTGTAATTATGTCAGGTCTGGGCAGCCAGAAATGAATGAGCAGTCCTAGCCTACAGGAAACTATATCACAAACTTCTCAGGACTGAGTCTGTGGTACCCAGGAATAAATAGGCTAGTCTCCTTAGAGGATCTTACATCAATCATACTCTTAGGATATTAGAACATGTGGGCATCTTGGGACCAGCTCCTTGCCACTTAATAACAGCAATAACTACGAAGAGAAAGAGGGTGGAAAACGCTTAATGGCTATAAGACTGTTCTAAACACATTACCCTTAGTCTTTAAAGCGGTTACCTTAGTTAGGTTCCTATGTCATCTCTGTTTCTCAGATGAGTAACAGAAGCATAGAAGAAGCTAATGTAGCCAAATGGAAGGATAAGTTCACAGGGAGAGAAATCTTGCTGAAGAACACAGCTATGCCCGGGTCACGCACACGCGTCTTGTAAACTGCTTGTCAACCCCTGGGAAATTTCAATATGCCTTTGCCTTGAAGAGATCTGTAAAAAGATCAACCAAGGCTTGCCATAGTCTGTGGTAGGAAATCAGTGGGGAACTGGTGCCCAGTTGTAAATCACAGATATCTCAGCCTGCTTTTATTATTTGTTGTGATTATCATGTGCAGGGAAGCCACATACTAAGGGAAACTCAAGGGCCCTTATTGGATACTATCTTTGTATGAATGAGCTAGAATAGGTAATTGTGTAGCACAATTAATAAAAACCCAGAGACAGATATTGGGGTTCAACGTGGTCAGAAAAGCAAAACAGCCAGCCACTGACTCTTATCTCTACCTCAGTCCAAAATGGCGATCCTGCCTCCAGGAATCTCAGAATGAGACTGTGAGAACTGTCTCCTCCCATCTTGTAATCATCTCTAGTGCTGGAGTTAAAGGTGTGGACCACTACCACCTGGTTTCTACAGCAAACTAGTGTGGTCACTGGGATTAAAGTGTGTCACAACTACCTGGTCTGTAAGACTGACCAGGGTGACTGTTTTACTCCCCGATCTTCAGGCAAGCTTTATTTATTAAAATACAGATGAAATATCACTACAGTTAGCTCAGTAATATGCATGAGTCTCTAGAGACACAGACACAGAGAGAAAAACATCCAGTACTAGCTAGTTTGATGTCAACTTGACACAAGCTACAGTCATCAAAGGAGAGGGAACCTCAATTGAGAAAATGACTCCATAAGATTCAGCTATAAATCAATTTTTAAATTAGTCATCAGTGGGGGAGGGCCTAGTCCACTGTAGGAGGTGCTACCCATGGGTGACTAGTCCTGGGCTCTATAAGAAAGCAGGCTGAGCAAGCCATGTGGAGCAAGTCAGTGAGCAGCATCCCTCTATGGTGTCTGCATCAGTTCCTGCCTCCAGGTTCCTGATCTGCTTGAGTTCCTGACCTCACTGCTTTTGATGATAAACTGCTATATGGAACTGTGAATAAAATGAACCCTTTTCTCCCTAGGTTGTTTTTGGTCATGATGTTTCAATACAGCAATAGTAATCCTAAGACACACAGCATAAGGTATCCCTGCTGGAATCCAAGCACCCAGAACCTGATTTATACGACCACTCATCTCTAAACGGTGTCACACCATCCAAGTAAACCACAATGCAGCCTCCACCAAAAGTCTTGTGTAGAATCAGAAAAGCCACTGCTACCTCCATGACATGTCTTGCAATGCAGCCTCCCTGGTTCTGGGCCAAAGACTACCCAGCTGCCCTGTGCTTTAGAAGATGCACAGGAAGCTATTCTCTCTGGCACCTGGTTGAGATCAATATTTTTTATGAAGGTTGTAACTGAGAAACTGGTGGCCAGAACTCTGAGACCTGAGAGAGACTATTCCCTGCAAAGGAGCTTGCCTGGGCTTTTGAGCCTCCCCTACCAGAGTTCTGTGGATTAAGAATATACATTCAGGGGCAGACTCCCCAAGTTTATCTGTGTGTGACCTAAAACACCAGGTTTCATTTTTCTACTAGATGGGACACATAATCAATATAAAACGAGAATTCTATATATATATATCAGTGAGTTTGTATCTACATGATCAGATGGGGTTTTGGTGTAAAGATCATGCCATGTCTCTTCTGATGAAAGCCCAGAAGTACAGGAAGAAGTGAGAGACCATTCTGTCAACTCAATTCTAAGTATTCAAAGGCCTTTTCATCCTAAAACTTTAAATGATTTCTTTTTACTTTCTAACTTTCCCTGATATAAATATTACCCAACTTCTCAGATGTTGCCTATCTTTGATTTGCAGAAGAGAAAGATCTTCCCCACTGGGCCCAGATCCCAGGGTATTAAAATTAACCATCACCATGCTCCAAGCTAATGACTTACTGGTTCTAACTGCCACAAATAGACATAACTCTCAGATAGAAGCCATTAGAGAAAATTGAATAGCTCCAATGTGGCAAAAATTTGGATACATCCTATTTCATAAATCACATGCAGAGGTCTCATTGGGCAAGCTATTTCCCTTTCTGTGTCATGATGAAGACCCAACTGGAAGGGGTCTATAGACTCTTGAGAAAGAGGACATAGGAAGGAGAATTTACAACATCTTATATTCTTATGAATGGAACCTTTGCTTTCTTCTCAATCCATGTGAGGATGATAGCACAGAAGTAACAACCAGGACAAGTCAGGCACCTCTGGTACCTTCTTTCCTTTCCCCAGTCCTCTGCACTGGTGGTCACAAAGAAGCCTTTGGAGAGTAGAACACTGAAGTAACAGAAATGCATGATTAACCCCACTTTAGCTCTTTGACCTTTGATTTTTTTAATCTATAAGATCAGAATAGAACCCATTCTGTGCTGTTAGACTGTACTAAGTGTTGTGTAGACTGCCTACACAACACTTCAGAAGCAAATAACAACCTAAGAATCTACTAGGACCCAAAACCAATTAATAAGACAGTATATGAGAAGTATCATGGTATCCTTCCATGTGCCCAATTTCTCACCTAGATGTCAAAGATCTGCTCTCCCCCAAAAGGCTGAAAGGGATATTCTATTACATGCATTGGAAAGAAGCAAAAGGAATTTGAATATAAAGAAAAATCAGTACATAGATACTGCTGTGATTTAAAAATTCAAGTTCCCACCTGGATATAAAAATAAAATGCCCAGTGTGAGAGCCTAGGGAGCTAAAACCTATGATAGTGAAGCCCTACAAATGGATGAACACTATTGTATAAGAGCTCACAGAGTGAGTTTGTGATGTAGGAGGGTCTTCTGTTTTGTGTTGATTTCATTGGTTAAATAAAGAAACTGCCTTGGCCTTTTGATAGAACAGAAAATTAGGTAGGCGCAGTAGACAGAACAGGATGCTGGGTAGAAGGCAGTGTGGAAGACGCCATGGCTCTCCGGTCCAAGACGGACATAGGCTAGAATCTTGCTAGTAAGCCACAGTCATGTGGTGATACACAGATTTATTAGAAATTGGTTAATTAATATGTGAGAGTTAGCCAAGAAGAGGCAAGAGATAATGGGCCAGGTATTGTTTAAATGAAAACAGTTTCTCTGTTATTATTTCCAGGGCTAAGCTAGCTGTGCAGGAGTTGGGTGGGATGAAAAGCAGGCCTGCTCGCCTCACCACTACACTACAGGTTTGCTATCATGATCTTCCCATCTTCTGCTCACACGAAGACCAGTCCTTTCTGCCCTCTGGAGGGTGTACCATTCAGCTATCACCTTGGAAGAAAAACAGTGCCTCTCTAGATGCAAACTCGTGGGTTCTTGATATTGGGCTTCCTAACCTCCGGTACTGCGAGCCAATGCATTTCGGTCCATTTGGGCATTTGGAAATAGCAGCAAAGGACAGAAAGCATGCTTTGAATTGAGCACAGACAAACCCTGCAACATTTCTGTGTTTAGCAGCACTAGTCCTGAAGAAACAGCTACCATCCCAGCTCGCATACCATGTGGCCAAGGGTTTTATGGAACATTCAATGGACAAGTCAGTCTGAATCAGAACCTTGGCTCAGCCATTAGAGTAGAGTATCCTCACCAGCTCATTAATGAAAAGAAAACATAGACATGATTTAACCCACTCCAAGGCTTGACTCATTCTGTGTTTCTAAACAACATAAGCCAGAGTGTGAGAAAGCACAATCATTCTCAACACACTGCTGAAATATCTGTAATGTGTAGAGCTAAACAATCCTTTAGGTTTGGAAAGGGGGATGTCAGAAACACCGTCTACGTCTTCCCACTCAAGTTAACTATGTAGACCTCAAACATGAAGGCCAGAATCTGTAGACTGTTGCTTCAACAATACTTGTCACTATTTCCAGCACTCCACATGACACACAGCACTTGGACGGTGTCTAAGGCACAGTAAGAGCTCAGTCAACATGAGAGTGGGCTTGAGTAAAGTCGTATCCATTCTTTCCTACCCACTGAATCCGTCTCCAAGACACGGCCATCTCTGCTCACACACATTCATTCATAAGAGCAGCTAATATTGCCACCGCCATGCAATTCTAAGATGCAATTTATCATACCCTAACCAATGGCAACTTGACTTTGCCATCTTTCCTTTTTATGAAGCAGCAGGGTGTCTTTCATTTTAATACATCTTAAATTCAATGAAATGTGATATGTGATACTTAACTATGTGCCAAGAACTTCTCTAAGTGTTTCAAAT